TTCTTTGTGGAGGCAGTTCTTTTTGTTTTACAAGGCACATGTTTACTTGTGTATTTTTGCATGAACATTTTCATCCATTGATAGTTTGTTAAGTGTCACATGGTCAGACCTATTCTTAGTCCTTTGATGCAACTGAACATGAGGAAGGAAGGTAAACACATGGGAAAGGAGTGGGAAGCAGAATTACCAATTCACACATTTAATACACACACACACACACACACACACACACACACACACACACACACACACACACCCTTTGACACTCCTGTTGAACTTCGCAGACAGGATTTAGTGGTTTTCTGTAGGAGCTCTTTGATGTCCTGTAGACAGCAATACTGCCCACTACTCTACAACACACGCACACAGACAGACAGACAGACAGACAGACAGACAGACACACAGACAGACAGACAGACAGACAGACTGCATAGTCCACCTTGACCCTTAGCTCATTTCAGCAGTCAGTGAAAGAGACACACAGAGACAGAGATAAACGAGGAAGATGCAGAGTAATTACAAAAACAGAATACATGAGAATATTGAAAATAAACAATGAGAAACAATGCATATATTTTAATTTTTCATAAAAATCCCCCTTGCACTGTAACACAAACGCTTTAATTATCCTTTGAATTTGCCTGTACAACAGTATAACAGCTGCTCTAACAAAAGACTGAGGATCACTTTACACACTTTTTTTCCAGGGGTGTTGAAAGTGTAACTGCACACAGAAAGGCAGAGATCAGATACACTCAATTCAGCCTGGAAGTAAGGAGAGAAACTGGGCAGAGGAATTGACAAAGAAGAACAAGTGGAAGGAGGAAAAATACGAGAGTGGCAGAGGAGCAGAGACGAGACATCATGACATAAAGTTGATGGTTTTACAGTGTTGAAACAGTGCCCTTATTTTCTCAGGTTTGTGTTAAACATTAATTGTAAAAACCATATAGACATGACCATATAAACTTTATTACACCACTAAAGTTAAATTAGTAAAATGCTACTTCCTAATAAAAGTTAAACCCTTAAATGAATGACTTAATTGTTTCAAGGAACGGGCAATACAGGGAAGAAAAGTATTTCTATTTCTCTCTGTGTAGTTGAGCAGCCACACTATCACAATAACTCAAAAACCTGTCCTACGTATGAATGCCTTTAGAGGGCACCTGTGGCAAATATATCGTCTAAAATCACTGTCCTTATCCCAAATTTATCACTCACATTATACTTAGAAAGTTTGTTTTTTTTCACCATCGTTGAGGATTTGTTGCCATAAACTACCCCAGTCAGGGAGGACTAACAACGCAAAAAGAGCTCAGTGCAGAGCGAGTCAGTTCTGCCGAGCGACAGGGAGGGTGAGAGAAAGACAGAGAGGAAAAGAAATAAAACAGAGACAAAGAGAGAGGGAGAGAGAGAGACAGAGAGAGCACACCCATCCTGAAGTCAGCAAAGCAAACTTTCAAGAAGAAAGTCGCCCAGATGCCACGCGTGGGAGGCAGCCCTTATTTATTTATTTCTGTTTATCTGGCTGTCAGTAATTTATTCCGAATGCGCTGTTTAAAATACTCCTTCTCCCTCTGTCTCTCCATTTCTTCCCCACAGATTAGAGGGGGGCTGCGACAGGGCTGCGAATTCCCTTCTCCTATATTGTCTAACAAATATCTAAAAGGGGAGGCAGAGAGCACAGCGGCTCTTGTTCTTTCTCAAGCGCTGAGCTGAGACAAAGAGGTGCGGTAGGATTTGTTGCTCTGTGCTTGCACCTGCTTAACAGTCGGAGATTGGTTCCTTGCGCATTACGAGTACGCAATCCGAGCAAAAGCAAACAGGAGAATGCAGACAAACAGATGTGCGCACACACACACACATACACACACAAGGGCATGCACGCGTACGAATGCGTTCAAACAGCACTCTCACCGCAGGTTTAATTTGCAAAGATTAAAGTCTGCAATGTGTTCAGTGTCACACCAACACACACATGTACACACACACACGTAAAAACACCTGGGAGTGTGAGTGCTTGGCAAAGTGTTGTTGTGGCCTGGAGCATACTGCCTGCTGTTTCTGCATATCTCTCTCAGACACACACACACACACACACACACACACACACAAACACTCACAATGAATGATGACATGACACAAAGCCTGATGAAACGATATGTAGGAGCCCCTTCAGAGCGCAGGGCTCATCTAACACACACACACACTCACACAAATGAAATCTCATCATATTCAGATAGAGAAGAAAGGATTACCTGCGGCTGATTGCTGGATGAGAACATGTAGGAAGGGAATTGAATCCTCATTCAGATGGTGTGTGTGTATGTGAGCGCATGTGCGAGTGTGTGTGTGTGTGTGTGTCTTTTACCCTCTCTGTTTGACCTCTCTGTGACTTACTCCCCATTCAACTCAAATGGAACAGTTTTAATATTTTCATTTTTTGAAAGCAAAACAACAAATGTCACTTTTGGGCATTTGCGTAACTCTTCATGAGGTGTGTAAATTAACGCAGATTCACACGTTGATGTGATACCTCTGATCGGCCACAGCCTCACTTACAATGTTCATGAGTGTGAGCAGGTACTTTTGGACGTGCTCCTTCCCGTGAAACTGGACCACGGAGTCGTCGACGCCCAGCAGCACCTCGATGTTGTAGGCCCTGTCCAGGCTCTGTCTGCGCGTTCGCCCCGCTCGAGTGTGGTTGATACTCTGCTCCACACCGCGGTACAGAGACTCCAGGTCCATCAGACCGCCGAGATCAGCACCTAGAGTTGGAAAAACACACACGTTTAGTAATAAAAATTAGACAAGGAGATTTGAGGCATTAAAACTGGCACATATACTAATACGCATACAAATATAAACATTGCAGGGATGAAGGGAAGAAAAAAAATCCACTCCCTTCTTTTTTATTTGGAATAAATAATTGATTGAGATACTGGTGTACCAATCTCATTAAACAGCATCCAACTAAAAGCAAAACAGTAAAGTTGTGGGCCAGACAGCGAAACGATGAGCTGAAACTCTCTGTAAAGCTCCACGAAGCTGAGGGGAGCAGCAGAGTCAGGTGATAACTCTCTGTAAATTCATCACTACAGTAAGAGCGACGCCTCTCACATTACACATTGTCATCATAGCTGCTTTAAATATGTTCTGACATTTACCAAATGTACGTGATACTGTTGTGTCTTGTGCTGTTTCTTTACTGTTGCCTCACTGTGCAGCAGTTCCTTGTTAATCTGTCAGTAAGCGTTTGACTTTTGAACACTACTGTCGTACACATTCACATATGCACATGTGCACTTTTTTGGGCACTTGCATGTTGATGTCGGTGTATCTGTCTTCTGTTTGTTTTCCAAGACACCAGTTGACAGAATCGAGCATGTGTGTCCTTTGTAACCGGTGGTAACGGTGCGGCTATCCTTCACAGATCCTCTCCTAATCAACAAAATATTTCTGCTCCCATCTGAATAAAAGCAGCAGATGGTGCTTGCTAAACACATGGATTAAGACAGCTCCCTCACACAGGGGCTGCCCATCCTGCTCTTTTCTTGGCTCGCTACATGCTGGAAAAAAATGCAAATTACACAAGAAACTTAATTTGAGGTTATTCCATTGGAAAAGTGTGTAACCTACAACAGCAGCCCTGATTTTTTTGGATCACTAATAACTTCTCTGGTTTTGCCTATACAGGTATGTCAGAGTGTGTGTCATGTAGTTGTTTTTGGATAAACTGTAGTCCTGGCTCCTAAATGACCATGTTAAGTGTCTAGTCTGATCCTGTTTCTTTTTCACTTTTTTAAACCAGGCAAGGAGTTGCAGTCAGTGAGGAAACAGAAGATAAATTGTCCCGTCTCCGGAGCCAAGGCCATCCTTCCCTCTTCATCCCTCTTTCTCCCCCTCTCTCTCATCCTCCTGGTATGTAGACACAGCATGACCTTGCTTGTATGGAAGCCATGGAAGGCCAAGTCATGCAGTCTTGAACATGTGGTCTCAGCGGATTCAACAAAGCACTATACTGCCCGACTCCAGCCAAGGCCTCCCACAGCCAAGGATGATACACAACACAGTTCATGGAGCGATGTGTGTAGAAGTGTGTGTTTGTGTGGACAAACATTTCCAACTGGGCTATAAATCACTGTTCCAACAGGAGCTTTAATTTAGTTGAAGCTTTGGTGCAGGGCCGGCTAAATGTAATAGATACGCTGTTTGTGACTGCAAAGCTCTGTTTGGAGGTGCTGGGCGCTGAGTTGACTCAACACGTGGCATGAGGGGACAGTTGGAGCTCCAGTGTTTTGACACATGCAGTTAGAACAAGTGTTGAGTGGAGGCAAAAGAACAAGATGCAGGAGGAAGATACAGGGAAGAGAAGCAGAGAGAAAGAGAGATCTGCCACCTTGTCTCCCAATCAGCAAGGGGCATCCCGCTTTCCCACTCCCTCTTATGCAACGTTTCCAAGGCAACGGGCTCATGGGTAAAACAACGACCGCATGGCTAATATTGGCTCCTGAGTCGCTAGCAGAATGAATCTGGAAGTCTGAATATGATCCCATATCTGCCCACATTCCAGTGAGTGACAGAATACCCACACAGAAAGAGAGAGAAACAGGAGGCGGGGGGCAAAGACAGAGACTAATATAGAGAAAGACAAGAGACTATCAGAGGAGAATTTAAAGATTTTTGCAGCACATACTTTTGTTAGGTTTCATAGCTCGTCTCTGACACATACATGCGCACACACACACACACACACACACACACACACACACACACACACACACACACACACACACACACACACACACACACACTCATTTCTTCTTGTTAGTAGAGGAAGCTGGATATAAGGTGTACTTCACAACAACCCTTGGCTCTTCCTAGTTATAGCTGCCTTTAACGAGCCTGATGTCATAACCACACCATCTGCTTTTAAAGACAGGTCCAGATATTTTTACCTTTTGCTTATGTAATGCCGAGACAAAACACAGAAAAACTGTGTTGTGCTCTCACTTTTAACTGCGCCTTTGCAAAATTGCACTGCCTTGAAAACTGCGGATGAGACAATGCGGGGACGCTGCATAACACGGGGCCACAGCTGTATGGTAAGTGGAGGGAATAAGGTAGTGATAACTCAAAGTGACACAAGCAGAGTGGAAAACAAGAACTGACTAAACCAAAGGTTGGAAGGTGCTTGACCAGGTGGTGAGCTCCAACTATTTAAACCACTCCATTTCATCGCACCTCTGTCCTTGCTTACACTTGCTTAAAGACTATTTTTCCCTCGCTTCAGCTGTTTTGGAGAAAGTTTTTTTGGAGAATACTGTGGAGGAATAAGGTGCAAGAGAGATTGAAGGAGGCGGTGAGGGAGGTGAGAGGTAGAGCTGAGGGGTGTGATGGATGAGAGAGAGAGATGAGAAGAGACCAGAAGGACCTTGGGTGTTGTGAGTTCCGCTTCAAGCTCCTGCAGTGATGGAGAATATCTCTCTCTTGTAGAGGATCCGAGTCTGTGTGTGTGACTGCAGGGCGAAGCACCAACGTGTGCTTCGGTGTCTCTCACAGCAATGGCTTACATTAGCCTCTGTGACCAAACTGTTATCACTCTCAACCTACTGACAGGGGATTGATCATAACAATGTTCACTTTTTCTGTCTCCAAGGAGGATCATTTACAGTCCCAAACCTAATCCTCCCTCAGATCTTACCTGCGCACGCACGCACGCACGCACGCACGCACGCACGCACACACACACACACACACACACACACACACACCCCTTCATGTCTCTTCCTACCTGCAGCTTTCCTTTTCTTTCCTGGTCCCACCCACTCATTCTCAATCCTCATTTACATTTTTACACTCCCATCTGTATCCCTTTATTTATACACATACACACACACACACACACACACACACACACACACACACACACACACACACACACACACACCTCTCGTCTCCACCTCCATCACCACACACAAACACCCCACCCTACATGCAGACCTCCTCACACATGCCTATCTCACTCACCCACTATTCTCATTCAGGTGGGGTATAGAGCGCGGCCTTATTAGGAGACAAAGGTTCTTTGTCTTTCAACCTTTGCAAAATGTCAAGAATGTCTGGTTGCCCGCTGAATATGAGGTAGGGGGAGAGGGGGGTCGTGAGTGTAAGGGGAGACTACAAGCCACAACAAGAGAGAGAGAGAACGGTAATGATAATTCAGGTCAAGCCACATCTTACTACAGAGCAGCGGTCTTTGGTTTAAGGTGACGTTTGACGGTCAGGTGTGATGCTTCGCTCTGCTCCGCATTCAGGGGCTCTACTGTATAGTGACTGGCCTTGGCTTTATGATGGCCACTCTGGCCATGAGTGTGTGTGGATCAAATTGCATGTTATGTATGGTTGATTCAACATCACATAATAACTGCAAAGTTCAACAGCGATTTATGCAGCAAAACAGACTCAGTAAATACAGTATTTAGAGTAATTACAATATAGTAAATTACACATTATTATATTGTAAACACATACACACTGTCTCCATCAGACAGTCATCCACATGGTGAAAATACATTTATTTAACAGCGCTGGTTGGCTGACAATGTATGCGCTTTTACAGCAACGCCCAATCAACTTTTAAAAGAAACAAAACAGCAGACGCAGACGATTAACAACCTTTATTAAAGTCGTCAAAGGCAGTTAGAGGATGGTTACTGATTATGGTCTTGACTGATTCGGTTTAAGGTGCCAGTACACTCCAACAGAAGTTCTTGTTGAATAGCAGAACTGTCTGAAACCCCCATCCCCCACACTACATCCAACAATTTCTGTAACTTTCTGAGACTGACAATGCAACAATCACATCTAATTATCACTATGATTGGCCAGCTGTGCAGAGGGTGAAAAGGGAGGCAGGGGTTTCTCTCACTGTCTTTTCTTATTTTTACATAAACATTTCACTTTGTGTGTACAAACAAGTGCAACACCATGAATTCCTTCTGGGAGAGAACGTATAAAAGTGTGCGCCGTTATTCCCATGTGTCAGTGATTACTGCGTGTCGCCACTTTCTGTGATGGCTGGCTTTTCACTTAGGGTGTGTGCAAGAATTCCCCAGCCTTTACCCACACTGTTTATGGTTAAGTCTTGCATGGATTTGAAGTAAATATAGTTGAGTCTTAAAATATAAAGCCGTTGTTAACTTTTGTGGATTTTTTAGGGCTGCTAAATTACACACGATTATGTGACCTAAATGCACTGCCATGTATTTATTTGGTATAAGTCCAGGTTTCAGTAGAGTAATGGTAGATGTCATTAGATATTGTCATTATTGATTTTAGACAAAAAGTTTCAGTTCTGAAAAAGTTGCCTGTCATGGAATAATAATATAAACATTACATTAATAACTTGAAAATGAGTTGCATACTAAGTGACTTTGAGGGTGTCTGCCCACACACACACACACACACACACACACACACACACACACACACACACACACACACACACACACACACACACACACACACACACACACACACACACACTCTTCCCTCTGGAGTGATTTAAATCTTTAGTGTTATTGTGTAGTTTGGTTACTTTTCTAACACAGCGACTTACTTATGAGTGGCAGCAGGTAGGAGGGGAGACGGTGAACTCATTAGTGCTTTACCTGAGTTCAAGGCTGTCTGTGCACAGGGAGGCACAGTTAACCACACACACGTGAATTAATTTACTTACAGACACGTCTTGGTCACATAGCTCAGG